CCTCTCTCTCTCTCTCCTCCTCTCTCTCTCTCTCTTTCTCTTTTTCTCTTCGAAACCCAATCACGACCAGGCGAAGCGATACAACGACATCAGAAGCAGAAACGAGAGCGTATCAAGGAGCAGGTTGCAGCATGGTAACAGCTTATCTCACGTTTGGTATCTCGTTGTACGAAGAGATGCTCCATGGAGCAATCTACATGGTCCAGGAAGGACACGAAGTGGTACGAGTCCCCATACTTGTGTACGACACAAAAGTAGAAAGTCTTTCTCGTTCGATGACCCGTAGCCACCAGGTCTCTTTGTCCAGGAGGATCCTGATGGCGTGGCCGAGATCACTCGTGTAATATAGAAGTCGAACAGCCTCTATGGCCACTGGTGTTTATTCAGGAAGAGTTCTCCGTTGCTCGTAGATAACCATGTCCGTGGACAGTAACGAAGTCCATAAGTTTTCAGCTCTATACGCGCCACACCGATCAAGAGGACGAGGAACATTCCAAGATCGTTCAGAAAGTCAAGATTTGCATGAACATTCGGCCGGTATTTCTTATTATTTTCCACAGCGATTCCGCAGTCGAGCACTTGTTTGAAGATTCGTGACTTTTTTCTTTTCTTTTTAATTATTAATTTTTAAAATTTTCGATATATTGTTATAACCCTATCGATTATTATTCTATGTTTCTTCGGCTCGTACATCTCGTTCTCAATTTTATAGAAAACTTTCGAATCGAACCAAGTTCGAGATTGTCTAAAATTGGCTTTTTTATTTCACTTGGTTTACTTGCATTTACTTGGAGGAAATTTAAAAAGTAATAAAAAATTACGAAAAAAAATGTGATCTATAGTTTCAATTGTTACTATTCTTAATATAATTCCACTCATTTCAATTATTAAAATACTGTTAAATAACTTCCAATTTTATTCTTTAAAATTAATCATCTGAAATCACTTACTTCCTAAAACTGATAATGTTTGAGAATCATCATTGCTATTAAATATATATATATATGTATATAAGCAAGCACGAAGCAATACGAAGGAACTTCTCTCCAGTCGAAGTCTCTGTGTGGAATCGATGGAAACTATATTTGGATGCCGGGGAATAAATTGTAATCACCAGAAACGTGGAACGGATCGCGGAAGGTCGACCTAGCTCGACATTTATGTGACATTCTTAGAGGCGAGATTTATGGGACGGTGAAGACTGTATTGGTCTCTTTCTCTCTCTCTCTCTCTCTCTTTCGTGAAAATTAAATCGGATAGAAGAAAGAGAGAGAGAGAGAGAGAGATTGGACGGTTTTATGGCGCCCTCTTCGAGAACGCCGACGCGACGCTTCTTCCGGTCTGCTCACGATTTTTTCCTGGGATTTGCTTTGGGATTCTTGTGCGTACGATGACGTTTCCTCTCTTGGATCATTCTTAGGCTCCGTTATTCTGCGTTTTAGAATGGAGTGCAGTAAAATGGATGATGCTTTTTTGAAACTTTTATTAATTTCACACCTTCGCAAGAAATTTGTCTCAAAGAAATTTCCTCCAGACAGAAATTTTCATTTTCAGAATTAGACGAATTTCTCTGTAAAATATCAAGATATCAAGAATAAATTTTCTTCTTCTTTCGAATCTGAATACGTATAACAACTCGCCTGTTCCTGCGCAATACAATCAAACGATAATATTTAAAAAGAACGGAACGAAATTGCATCACGTTTCACCGAAGCAACGTTTCCTCTTCTGGCTACTTGTTCCACAAATAGCGATATTTGCATAAAGCGAGAGGTTAACGCTTGCTTATGATAGATGGATACCGAAGTACCCTTGTGTTTCTCGTAACACGACGAGTGGAAAGTTCGTTAATAAATTCGCCGTGATAGAAATACCACGTCCCCTCCTCCTCCTCCTCCTCCCTCGTGAACAAGGGAATCATCGAAATGCGAGACACGTTCGCGCAAAATGCGCGAAAAAGGAAATCGATGTTGAATGGCCAATGCAAATTTGCATTGCACTTCTTTCCCGGCGATAGATCGGCACCGATATTTCGTAAGTAAGTGAGAAGATGTCGATTCGAGGCATTTAGAATCGGCTGAATGACACTTGACTATAGACATTATTAGTAAGTAAATAAGGCAATGTTTCGTTTGTCTCGAAGTGCCTCGACGAGTGAGGTTAATGATTGAACGAGTCTGCTATTTATGTGATATGTATTCTTCGTTGCATTTGTCGTCTGTTTGTAGCCTGTCAAAGAAAAATAAAAATAAGAGAATCGAGGGAAAGATACTGTTTATAAAAATTACTGTACGCGAATAAAAGAATGATATAATTTTCATAATATTTTCATGATATAAGTTTTTGCGCTATATGCGGGATGTAACAATTTTATTTCTTTTTTTTTTTTTTCTGTGAAGATTTTTTTTGGGAAAAATAATTACAGCGCAAAGGATCGATTATAAAATTTATGAAAAAAATTTTTATAAATTCTACGAAAAAAATATGAATCAATTTTCTCTAATCTTTTTTTTAATTTTATATCCTTATTCGTGATAAAAATCTTTTATAATAAGTAAAATTAAAAAAATTAATTACAATTTTATTACAGTGGAATGACCAGTGCCACTATTTTTAAACTTAAATAGTTGTTGTTGTGATAAAATATCCTTGTAAAATGACTATATAATTAATTAGTTACTTAAAAATTATATTATTCATTCGACTTTTTTTTATCTGATAAGTATTCTAAGAAACTCTTATTGGTCGAAAAAAGCGCAAAAAGATTATCTCGTGTTCTTCTATTTTCTTCTAGAAAATTATAAATACTTCTCGATACATAATAATAAGCGTATTGCAATATTCTCCCCCCAAAATCTCACAAGTTACAAACCCATCCATAAATCCTTTCGAAATAAAAAAAAAAGAAAGAAAAGAAAAAGAAGCAGGTGCTAAAACCACTCGAAGCTGGCCATAAAATTAAATAACGAAATCCTCGCACGTACCATCCACCGTCCAATGAAAATTCCCATCGAGATACACCTCTCGAGTTTTCTCGAACCAAACTTTCCTTTCCTCTATTACCATTACAAACACTTCCTCGACCGCTCGAGGAAGCTACTTGAGATACGTCTGGCAATCGACGTACTTGCCATCGAATACCATCGAGCGACATCGTTCGAAGAGGAGGAAAAAAGAAGAAAAAAGAAAAAAAACAAAAAAAAGAAGAAAAAAGAAAATAAGAGAAGAAAAAAGAAGAAGAAAAAGAGGAGGAAGGATAGAGACGAGGTATTTCTCAGGGAGGAGGAAGCAACCAGAAAGAGACGTGATGTCTGCGCGAATCGGATGATCGATGGTCGATCGTCCAAGCCATCGATCACCAGCGACCTCGCGTCATCGCGCATCGATGGCTGCGGTCTCGCTTCCGGTATCTGGACGGTGAACGGAGACATTCTCGAGACACACCGAGTTGGTTTCCACGATGGAGGAACGCGGGGCGCGAATACTTTAATGATGCTGTTGGTTATGTTTAACAGTGATCGTTGTTTTGAGATCACGTTCTTGGAATATTATAAAAATATTATTATTACCTTCTCTTTTTTTTATTAGCTATTCAAACATCCAAATTTTTAACGTTGCTGAATTGAGAGTGAAAAATTGTTAAGGATGTAGTGCGCTTAGTGACGATGAAAAATTGTATTGATATTAGTTTTTCTTTTATATTTTATAGTATAACGCACATGAAATAATTGTCTTTGTCTTTAAAGAAACTAAGATAAAAAGAATACTGGATACATATCAAAGAGACGATTTTTCGATCAATTGGTATCGAATTAAGACGAAAAATTAATTCTTATATATAAAATCTTGATTCGTTAATTCTTTAATTTCTTCCCCACGATTGAAATTCATACGTACGTGCGCGTATATCAATTAATCTTTCAATTCCCTTTACCATTCACAATACCATTCTTCCATCGAATGCGTGCCTATCTACCTCGTTTATCGAGCGAGCATGGTACAATTTTTCCAAAATAACCCTTGAAACGTGCAACCGTTCAACCAGTCCTTCTACTTTCTGATATATTTCCTTTATCGCGGGCAAGAAACAGAAATTGATACGCCAGAAGGAAGGTGGTGCAACACGGCTACAGCCGACCCACTTAAACAGCTTCTATATCGGCGAAGAAACAAGGCGGAATGCTACCAATGCTACGGGGACTTTCACTCGGAAGGCTCGTGAGCCAAGTTGGGACCAAGGCGATCGATTGTTTTCGAAAGGTCGCCGTCCGGTCCACCATTAGCGGTTTCCCATTAGTGCTTAACCTCCTCCCTTTGGGAATTGTTTAAAGGTCACGCCGAGATTATTCGTCATTTTTGAAAAAAAGTATCGTCGCCATTCATCGTCTAAATGAAAACGTGAATGGGAAAGAGAAGAGGGCGAAGGAGGATGGAGAACAAATTATTATGAGAACACCACGAGTGGAATTTCGTTTGTTGAAATTTTTACACGATTTCTTATGTTAAATTTTACTATTTTATCAATCTTACCATTACTCGTATCGATTTTTAATTTATTGTTATTTTCTTAGATGCAATTTGAAAGAGTTAATAAAGAAATGGCGGATCTTTAATCGCGAAATCAAATTCCTCATGTATCATAATATTGCGAATTATATTTTGTGTCTGTTCAAATTTTCTATAAAAACGCGTAAAAAAATATCCAATACTCTATCGATCAATTACAATTTTCTTCTTCGTTCATAACCGAGAAAAATTTCTCCAATAAAATTCTTCGCTTTCCTCAACGGATAGCCGATTCTGCTATTTAATCTTCCGAGCTATCCAAGGATCGATTGTGATCATCAAAAAGAAACCATACTCCCCACTTTCCGCTATTTAACTCTTTTTCACAATTACTTAAAGACTTGTACCCCTTTCAAGTCGAGATCGATCAAATAATTTCGAAAAAAATACGTCAATACGACCTAAGCCCTCTCCAGTCTGGGATAAACGCCGGTGGATAAAGAGACAAAGAGGGTGAAGGAGGGAGGAGGAAATCGGAGGGGACAGGAGAACAGACAGGGCAGACGGACGGAAAATATTTACGTTTCATTACGTGTTCCGTGGAAGCCAATTAGCGCGAGTCGCCAACGCGAAAAACGTGAAAGGGAGCTCTTTGTGTCCCTTCGTTTCCAGCCGACTCGTGGACAGGCGGGGGGGAGGGAGGGAGAGGGGAGGCACGGATTCGTGAAGATTGCGCAATCCCCGTAGGAACGATTGGAAATGGAATCCTTCCCGTTGGACCGAAAAGTCTTGATTGTTTCGGATTTTCGGAGATCTCCGAGAGACTCGGTTTCCAAGGTTTAATGACACGGTGAAAGGGTTGAGTATACGGAAGGGGCCTTCAATTAGGAGGATGGTCTTCAATTAGAGCCTGTATTCGATTGTTCTCTTAATATGAACGTATACGCGACTGTTATTCAATTTGGGCTGAAAATGAATGTAAGGAATTAATATTTAATATTTTTCGATCCTTTTGCATTTTGTTTGCGCTGCGCTGTGTTTATTTATTTTTAATTTTCTAATTTTCATTCAAGAGTTGCGTAGTTGCTCTCTTTGTTCAATTCTAATTTTTTAATTTTTACTAATAATTGCTTTTTTTTTAATAAATAATAAATTATTTAAAATATTCAAGATTATGTTTGCCGTGCAATAGTCATTCATTTTATTCTCATGATCATTTAATTTTAATTTTCTATCTTCCTCGAATACCAACAATTTAAAAAAACTAGATACATCTTCTTTCCACTTCTTCTCATCACCATTGACAAAAATTGCAATACTGCAATGAAATGAATGAAAAAAAAATAAAATAAAATAATATCCATTCCATGAAAACAATTTCACAAAATAGAGAGGAACAAAACATGCGTCGATTAAGCATGCATCTCGTGAAAGTTCCTCGTCTCTGTTATCCCGCGAGCCAACTCGAGGAATCGTCTCGCGGGACATTTTCGTCCGGCAAAACATCCGTCACCGATCGCTCACCGATCGTTCCATAAATCTTGAAGAACGTTCGGTTCTCCACCGCAAGAAACCGAACGCCGGGTCACCGGATATCGTTTAGACGCTCGTGGATGGAACACGAGTAAGAAAGAAAACCGCGTCCCCTCGTACGTCACTTCGGGGCGGATGGAAAAAGATGGCCGGGACGAAAGTTGAGAGGATCGCGGTCGGAGGATATTATGCGAATTCATTAACAAACGTGTCATGCAATCAAACTGCTATTTACCAATCGATTAATTCAACGATCGAATCGATTTACGATCGCGTAGCTGATCCGCTACGAGAATCTACTTTTCTTTCTTTCTTTTCTTTTCCTCTTTCTCTTTTTTTTTTCCTCGATTTCTTATGTCTCGCGAGTCTTCGAAGTCTTCGAGGAGTGTTTACATCGACGGCCAGTCGACAAGAAGTTGAGGGAGCGATGGGTAATAATTCAGTGTGTAAACGGTTATCGAGCAAACTGTTCTTAAACTCGATCACCGCCGAGATGGATTATCTGGTGTATCGATGGACGTCCTTTTGCGAGATGAATCGCGTAAGAAGGGAGGAGGATATGTGTATCGCGTCGTGATTCTGCTTCTTCTAGTTTCGATGTTTTATTCAGAATTTTTTTATTTCTCGAGAACGCGCGTTAAAAATATTTTTCCTAACAATGTAAGTTTCGAGCGAATTTCAAGGATCTTTTCATTCCATTCCTTCTCAACATTTTACATATGCTTCGAAATGATAGTTGGAATTAAAGAGGACAATAATGTTGCACAATAAAGAGTTATATTATCAAATTATTCGATAACTGCAACATGTGATGAAACATGTATGTAATTCATTATTGTTTATTCGTTTTAAAAGGAGATAATAATTCATCATTCTTGTTTATCATTTCTTACTTCTCAGAAGAGGATGAATTGGGATAATTAAAATTATCCAATGCTCTTTGAAATCCTCCGTTTCTCATGAATTCTTAATCACGAGTCCTTATCATCGTTCTCTCTCGGTCCACGTGTCGAATCGAGACGTAAATGTTATGCAAGTGTGATTGTCGATGATCAAAAGGGACGAGATGTTCTCGTACTTCGCTTATCATTACGTGAATCACGCGTATCGTCGTTAACTGGGCTTTACAGCTTCGAAATAGGGCCGGATAACGTTCTTGGTTGAACGAAAGGCGTGGAATCGAACGATTTCGAAGTGAAGAGGATTATATTGACGGCTATTGTATGGTATAATATGGATATACTAATCCATTCGTTTCGTCGTGAATGGTATGGTATTAACTTATTGGAAAATGTCCATTGTCGGTCGTGATCACAGTGTTTAGAAATATTTCGTATCACAAAATAGCAGATATCGTTCGATGATATTAGTTAAGATTATTAACTTTTATTTTTGGGGATGAAAGGAAGAGGATAGATTAAAATTTTAATTTTTGATCGAGTGATAATTTTTTCAATGATCTCTTGAAAGGTATGATTAAAGGTAATCGAAATCTCGTGAACCTCCTTAGCTATCTAGACATAAAGTATTATAGGAATTTCTTACAACACGATTTTTGAAATGTGAGCATAGATTGTTTATTAATAATATTTTATAAACGAGTAATGTTTCAGATTTTTAGACACAGGAGAGATGAAAGAATTATGATGACGTTAAATTTTTAGATTTTTGACATTAGACAGTAGATAATAAAAGAAAAAAAAAAATAGTCGAATTGATTGGACTTAAATATTAGTTTGTGTATGTTATTATTTTCGTGTTTTAAATTAATTGTATACGTCATTCGACGGCGATAAGAATATGTAAAGTGCCAGTATGAATTCTAACGTTTGTACCAAGAACAAACGTATAAGAGGAATTACCGACTAAACGCAGTAAATTAAATTTAATACCTACCTATAAATTATCTAAATATAACTTCTTCTATGTACGTGAAACGACAAACCTTACTTGATTTATTACCACGTTGATCAATTATTCACTTTCAAAACGTTTAAAAGAGATAAATATTGATCACTCAACGTCAAACTAATAGCGACAAAAACAAGACATCAAATATTATATTTTACGATGCTATTTTTCATATTTTTGATACGAAACTACTCACATTTATTGTAATATCTAATATTACTTAACTACTGTTATTATTTCTCATTTCTAATATCTCTCATACCCGTTTTACGATATTACCACCGATTTTTACCACGATCGTACACCTTCACGAGGGCACGTATTTTCATTAATAACGAAAATATCATAGGTAAATTTAAAACAAGCTTACCGCATATAAATCAACGCAACGTATGAAACACATCGTACGACGTACTGTTTTCATACTTTGCTACAACGTTATTATAATTTTTACGAGTCACGATGAGTGCGCAATTTTATTCCTATAACGAAAAAAAAAAAAAAAGAAAAATAAAAATTATAAACTCAAATGTGAATCAAGTCTGCGAATAACACAAACGCGATACTACTTTTTTATCACGTACCACCCTTTTCGTCGCAACGTTCGTTTGCTACAATTTCGCGCACACCTTCGCTCATTTTCAACGGAAAGGAAAAATCATTGAATTTAAAATAAACGGGATTTAACATCAGAATGTAGCAAAGCATCGAAAAGTATCAAGAATAGATTCCAGATATTGAAACGCGTATCTCTGAAATCCGGTTTTCCAGTTTATTTCTAGCCGCTATAGGAGGCGTTAAACCATCCTCGTGGCGAGCACACGTTTCAGGGGACGTTTCCACGTCTCGATTTCACGGGGCGGGGTTATCAACACCCGGACGATTTCCGGTCGATCGTTCCGTCGATATTATCGAAATAAATGTTACGTTTCAGCGGCGCGGCCGAACCACTTTCGTGCAACGCTTATTTGAATTTTTACGACGTACCGGGGTATTTTCGATTTCACCGTAATGGCGTCCTCGGCTGAGATACCTTGGCAACGCATCGTTGCATCATCGATATCTTCTACACGTCGATCGTTTCCGCGGGATACGAGCGTGCATGTGTGTGTATGTGTGCGTGTGCCAAGCCGTGACTAGTTTCCAAAGAATTTTTTTCCTCGAGATGCACCAGCAGCGGAGGCGGAATGACGCAATCAACAGGCGGTTGATTTTACGTCCGATTCGTTCGAATTTGAGAGTTTGACACGCACAAACTTGATTTTTGTTCTGGTGATGGGATGGATATGGATGTTCGTACGTATTCGATCGTGACGATCCTCGTGAATGAAGTCATTTATAAATCAAAATTTCAAATTTTCCTCTTTGTAAATGTATCGAGTGCTCTTTCTAAGAATTCTGGCTATTA